AGCGCTACGAATTGCCGACGGCTCTGGTCTCCAGCCATAGCCACAGTATGCTGCGTAGCAGGAAGCATTTTCTGTCGTCCTTTGCCTGAGCAAAGGCCTGGATGCCTTTCGGAAGTGATGGAAGTCTGAGCCAGCCAGGGCTAGATAACTTGCAGGGTACGTAGAGAAAGCTTAGAACCGGCTGCCGGTCGCTTCGCTTTACTTTGACTGTTTCCATTGTCCACTTGGCTGTTTATCAAGATGAACCCCTGCACATCCGCCACCACGGTTTGAAGGGTTTAGGGTGTAGGGTTTAGGGAGATCTGCCTTAGTCTTCCTTTCTGGGATTACCTTACAGGTTTCTATATATGAACCCCAAGCAGGAACTACTTTAGGGCCTATGGGTAGTCTCCACAAGTCTTGAGGGGATCTTGATATCCGCACAGTGTGTTTTGCCTTTTGAGGCAGGGTACAGGTCTCCAGGACTCTCTAACAGAGTCATGAGTGCGACGAAGCAGTGGCTTGTTGTTGGGCTCCCTTGGGTTTAGGGTTTAGGGTTTAGGATTCAGTATGATTCAGTTTAGGGTTTAGGTGCTGGAGAAATGCGATTTTTTGGGCTGTCTTCTTCACGTTTGTGCTACACGAGGCTGCCTTCAAGGTCCTTGTGGCAATAACTTTTGCAGAGAGAGGATTTCGGGTCTCGGCACAACAGCTCCGCAGAGAAGCAAACAGCCTTCCTAGTGTCCGTCCTAGTCTGTGCCATCCCACGAAGTACAATGCCCTTGTCTTCAACAAGTTGAAACTGTTTCGATCCCGGTAGTCGCAGATCTTCGTCATGCATTCTGTAGCTTTCGATCCCCCAACTAAATCTAGCAGAGGTGGCGGAGTAATTAGTAAGTTGATAATGGTATTCCTTTAGGGTTCCTTATTTCTGATACCCCAAAAAGTTTCGAAGTCACCCGTAACCCTAAACCCTAAACTTCAAAAACAACCGTCAGCCCGTGAGCTTGATATGGAAAGAACGGTCGGAATTTTGATAAACAGCACTCTTGGAGTTTGGTCTCCCTCATGATGTCCTTAAAATCCGATGATCAGCATTCGGAGCCTATAATGGGGTTTAGAGTGTTAGGGTCGTTTGTATCAGAGATTCCTGCGCTCGGGTGTAGGCGTGAGCCCAACGAAGCCCGCGTGTGCGCAGCAGGGTCACTATTGCCCTGGGAAGAAGCCGCTTCACGCACGCCGCCAGCTCTGAAAGCGTTCCCCTAAGGGTCCATGTACTCATATAGTATATACATGGGCCCTAAAGTACCTATATAGGGACTACATTAAGGCCAATGTATATACTATATGAGCACATGGACCCTTAGGGTTCTGGAGAGCTTAGCACTCCCCAGGGCTCCAAGTCCCGCTGAAGACACGGGCGAATAAAGTCATGGCCAATACTAATATCGGGGGTTCCTTAGTGTGAGTGGGGGGGTGGGGGGTCCATAGTATGAGTATAGTATAACGGGCCCCAAAACCCTATTCAAATTATTAAGGCCCCTATATTAAGATTATCCGTTCTGAAATACTCGGGTTCTGGTATGGTTGTAATTGGGCTATACTGGGGTTACAATATGGTTTGAGCAGGGTGTTTAATTTGTTGGGTTTATCAGGATTCCAAGACAATGAACCTTGTTCCAGTCCACCTTTTGGGAGTGTATGTTCAACTCACTTAAACGGAGCTGTCATGTTCCGAAGTAAATGTAAGGTCAAGTATGTTCTATAGTTTACGCATGCTTACGCCCTATAGCGCCTACACTCCAGAGCATAAAGGCTAGTTCCTAGTTTGACAAAAAGCCGCACACACTGTCAGCAGCACTGACTTGGAGCCATGCGGGACAGAGGGTACGAGACAGCGAAGGCATTTGTCGCTGAGATTAGGGGGATGGCACTCTTTGAGAACATCACATAGGATACGATGGGGGAGTGGTGAGGAATTAGAGTCCAGGGTTTAGGATGATCTCAATTTCAGGTTCACTGTTGGAACCTGCCAGGCGTCACAAAGAAAGAAAATGTACGCCGCTGACTGGCTGATTGATTGAGTTTGAGAAAGAAGATAATGGATTCATCTTGCCACGATTATGATGCACACCGGGTCTGAGAGAACGAATGCCCATCTCCAAACACCGGCCGCAATGTGACATATAAGAGATGTAATAGTTTCTTTGGTGGGATCTGTTCGTGCCCTCTGCAAGTGGTGGAAACAATTCTACTGTCTACCGCCCAGACAGCAACGACTTACAGTCAACTCATTTTCTGAAGCACCTTGTACTGCCCAATGTGCTGGGGAGCAGACAGAAGAGGTGCCAGGTGGAACGACCTGCTTCCGTGATCATACAGAAGAAATTGGAGATGCCGGGCTAAAGAGCTCCATCAAAAACCCACCAGAACTGACGATGTAGGTGTGGTTTCACATCTTCTCCGGTCGCTCTTTCAGTCGCAGAAGCCAATTCTAGACAAGATGTGCTCTCGAATCACAGGGCAGTACTCACCGCCCAACAGGTGCAAACCCCGCGCGTTGTTTGAATTCACGCAAGGGGAATGCACCCTAGCGACCGGGGCAGATTGCAGCCATGTCCCATGCGAGCGAGATCAGCAGTGGCCCTCATGTTCATTAGCAGCACACAGCATGACAGAAAGTCCCTAAAACCCTAAACCCTAAACCCTGTACAAACCCTGGCCCAAGCAAAAGGCCCTGCCGCCTTGATGGCTTTTGCCGCAGCTTAGCCAGGGAGGGCCCCTAGGATCTCGCCGCAGATGCAGTGTCGTCATACCGAACTTTAGTTCCGCTGCGAAGCAACCACGCTACAAAAAATCTTCCTGGCGTGAATTGCCTAAGCCTACCCTAACCCCCCAGGTACCTACTACTTGGGGCCTTAGGGGCTTTAGTACCCTGTATAGTAGGTACCTGGGAGGTTAGGGATCACCAGCTGAAGCTGTCTAGCCCAAGCCTGAAATGTCGAAGCCGCAAGCCTTAAACTTGCCCCTAAACCACATTGGTTTCATACCGCTCACTCGGACCCCTGCACCTTAGAAAAGACGGCCCCTGAAAGTTTAGGCCTGAATCTGCGGAGCCTACGTGGTAGGGGTGGTGCTCCTATAGGCCCAGTGTGCTGAACTGGTGTCCATGATAGGTTCCTGGTGGTTACAAGGGTTTGAGGGTGTTTTGTTATAGCAAGTTGGACGAGATGCTAGATGATGGTTCTCTACAAGTCCTAGAAGCCTTACTAATTTGGCCTGGTCCTGTTCGTGGACTTTGCGCAGCAAGGTGTTCCGAGATTCCTGCCAACTGTGAACGATCATTGTGTGCAGGGTTTGCGGTTTGGGGTTTCTAGGCAAGAGAAGGTCCGAAAGTCGTTCACCGCCTTCGCTCTAAGCCCTGGATCCTGAACGACCAATCCGAAGCGCCTGCAACATCCTAAACCCTAAGCACTAAACACTAAACCCTAGCAACATCCTAAACCCTAAGCCCTAAAAACTAAAGCCTAAGCCCTAAACACTAAACCCTAAGCCCCAAACCCTCTCAGCACCGCGGCCCTATGGATGTCTCCTCTTTCTGCCAGGCGGCTTTGCTGAAGGCTGCTGCACAAAGGCTGCCTCAGAGTTGGATTCGAGGACTTGAGGACTTGCGTGAGATTCGCGTGTAATGCAGGGGCATAAATAATTACCAAGACTATTTTGGGTTCCCTTATTCTAATTATAGTATAATGGGCCCCAAAACCCTATTCTAATTATACTCAGGCTCCTGTATTACCCTAACCCCGGCCCTAGGGGCTCTCGTACCCTAAATAGTAGGTACCTGGTGGGTTAGGGTTATACACGGGTAGGGGCACAGGGATCTCGGCGCTCGGGTTTAGGAAAGCTGGATTTTGGGGCCCTAAACCCTAAACCCGAAACCCTTAAACCCCTAAACCCCTAAACCCTAAAGCTTAAACCGCTTCAGTGGAACGGAGCACCTCCGAAGTCTCAGAGTAAGAAGCTGCGTGTACCATGGCGTTTGAGCACTGTTGAAAGCCAGGCCTGGGGGTTGAGGGTTTTAGGGTTTTAGGGTTTTAGGGTTTTAGGGTTGAGGGTTGAGGGGTTTAGGGTTTAGGGTTGAGGGTTTAGGGGTTTAGGCTTTATAAGGGTTGAGGGTTTAGGGGTTTATGGCTTAGGGTTGAGGGTTTAGGGTTGAGGGTTCAGGGTTGCCCTAAACCCTGAATTACCTTCAAGTTTGGGACTCTGAGAGATGTTTGCAGCCATGTTTCATTCTGTGCCGAAGGCTTGCCCAGCAAGCTCTACAAGCAGAGCAGGAGGAGGCCGGCAAAAGAGTTGCGGGTTTGAAAGACTTAGGCACACTTTACCCGGGCACTTCGGACTCTGCGTGTAGAGATGAACAGGATGTTTCAATGTAGGCCTTTGTATTCCTATAGGTGAAAGTCAAAACGTCTCGGCCAAGTACGCTTGAACATCCTTCCTGTAGTCTCCATTGTAGTTCCTTTTTTTGGTTTAACCAACTATATATTAAGGATTTTATAAGGCATCCCCAAAAAGGAACCACAACGGAGACTATATTTTTGTTGGTAAGCTGGAAGCTGGCTGTAAGACCAGTGTTGCTGACTTGAGGCACACCGTACACCCTAATCAAACCCCTAAACCCGCGAACTCCCCTAACCCCAAAACTCTACGCCCTAAACCCTCCCTACACCCTACGTAAACCCGAATCCCCAAACCCCCTGAACCCTAATATAGGGGCCATAATAATTAGATTTGGTGGTATATTCTACCATACTTATAACCGGGAACCTTCAAAACCCTATTCAATTTATTAAGGCCCCTATTATATTCACCCCCCAAACCCCATAAAACCCCACCCCCCCATAAAGCCCCATAAAACCGTATAAAACCCCATAAAACCCCATAAAATTCATAAAACCACATAAACCCCTTTTTGTAATTATTAAGGCCCCTCTAAACCTTGCCAAGCCTTCGGGCCCGAGGCGGCAAAGCGGACCATCGCAGCCTTCGGCCGCCGCTGGTGCCGCCCATCATGCCTTGGGTTCAGAGGATGTAGGGGTTTAGGGTTCATAGGGTTTAGGGTTTAGGGGTTTAGGGTTTAGGGTTCATAGGGTTTAGGGTTTTGGGTTTTAGGGCTTTAGGGTAGGGTTTCAG